TTCAAGTGATTTTTTATTTGGTTTTTCACACTCACTGTATTATGTACCATCTGATGATTTAAATATTCGCAGCAAACATGATTCCGGCTCTACTTCGGTCGGGATAAACGGATCTCAAAATCGAGGCTGTGGATAAAGGGTTCTCGGAGGCGTTTCAAGATCGCCCAAAAACTAGACCCTGTCTCACCATGGTACACTGTTGAGCCATGGTGATGGGTTTTTTTTAGTATCGATCAAACTGAGGATCGTTTCGAGTTCGTCCGAATGTTTTATTAGGTCGAATATGTATGAATCTCCGGGTTTGTATGGGGTTCCTGAGTTTAGATAGTACTCGGCATCCACGATAGATGGTGGTGATATATAATACTCCCCGCATGCGCTTAACAGAAACTTGAATTTCCCAACATCTCATTTATTGGCTCCAGCTCACTTAGTAGGTACCTCGGTATCGGAATTTCCGAATTATTGAATGTTGCCTAATTACATCGCCAATTAATTCAAGGCATGTTTTAATAGATCATTTATTCGCCCACTCTACTACTGCTTGATTTTGAGACAATAACCATTGAGGGGCAGGGCTCGACAAAGGAGCACACCCAATATCTCACCAAACAATCTACTGGTACTACTAGTACTCCAGCAACCATCAAGGGCAGATGAGTTTCTTATTGGATATTGTTCCAAGGTTCAAGCCTTTGTATCTATAGATTCTCAGTATTCTCAGCGGGTCAACCTTCACCCCCAATCGACCGCCCTTCATATAAGCGTTTCCAGCGAATTCGCGAAGCAGCTGAATTATCCCTTGATTGCCTGCGCCCAATATCCGAGACGCGCAGAGGCATCAACTACTAGTGATGTTTCACTTCTATCCATGGATAACTTTGAGTTGAAAATTCGCCATGGTGATACGAACCGGTTCAAATTCCTCATGCGTGGTTCGAAGGCTACTGGTAATACGTTTATTATTTTAGGTTTAGTATTTCCATCGAAAGATAAGAGGTGGTAGTTTATTATTGTTATAAGTGGGACGTATACTGTCATCTGCCAGTGGAAATATAGTAAAAGATAGTCTTAGTCTGAACATCACAGCATGATATTTCCCCAACGCCAACTCTAGCTGATAGTGTATATGCAAATGAAAAGGGACAAAGAGTAAGTAAGTAAGTAATCTACTCTTCCCAAAAGAACTTAAAACCAAAGAAATTTTTATGCATCAGAAATCCCAAAACTCGCGCAAAAACGCAGCCGGACCCGAATCAACACCCCCATCCTCTTCCAACAACCGATCCGTAAAGATACGCTTGGGGATCTGGTACTCCACAACAGGAGTCTTCCTAAGCACACGTTCTCCCGTTCCAAGATCAGATTCCACCATACCCTGGTACGTATGGTCCAAAAAGTCCTCCAGGTTGTAGGCCTGCTTGGTGAACTGTTCGGAGATAATGCGTGCGATGGCGGCGACGTTGGGGTGGTAGTGAGATTGGAGGGTCTCGATTTCCCACAAACTGCTCTCGATCGCGTTGGTTCGGGTGGGATTTGATTCGTTGTTATCGAATGGATCGTCCATGCCATGTTTCTCGACGTCAGCGGCAACGTCCTTGTCGCGGATTGTGCGGTGCATCATGAATGTGCAGGTTGGGTGGTCTTTGAAGATGTTGTACATGAATGGGACGATGACGACGATTGCGGAGGGTGGTGCGTTGAGCGCGAGGCGGGAGAGACGCTTGAGGAAACTTGCTACTAGGGTTGCTGGAAGATGGGTTGAGGCGAGGAAGGTGTTTAGGAGGCGGAAGAAGCGGGAGCGGTGCTTGGAGTGGAGGAGGTCGGCGTCCAGGAGGGAGTAGAGTTTTGTGTAGAATTGCGGGTAGTCGAGGTTCTTCTCTTGGATGAGGTAGAATAGACCGGATAGGGCGAGGAGGGAGGTGGCGCCGCCCACGTTATACGAGTCTGTCAGGAAGTCCATGAGTAGCTCGGGTCGGCTGAACCAGGGCTCGATGTTGTGGACCATGATGCGGAGGAGGTTCTTTCGTTGCGCTTGGGAGAGGTTGTTTCGCAGGATGGCGAGCCATGCTTCCTGGGCTCGTTTCTTGTGGGCGTTGACGGAGTTGAGTTGCTTGGTTTTGGTCTCGCGGGGGACGAAGAAGGATTCAAATTCGTGGTCGGCGGCGGGGGCATCGTCGCAGGAGGAGAGGATCGAGACGAGAGTGTCAAGGGTTTCGGGGCTTCTTCGCACGTCGGCATATTCACTGCTTGATGGTTAGTAAGGTCTAGGGCATTTGGTGGGTTGTCCAGGGAGGAGGGGAAATTAACATACGCTAATTGTACGAATGTGAAGAACCGCACATCTTCGAACTCTTTCACAAATTTGGAGACAAACTCAGTCTGCAAATCCTGACCATTGTTGGCCTCGACAACAGCCGTGACAATATCCTTGAACAAGGTAGCCCAAATATTGTTGTCGGCACCGGGGATGTGGGTGATGCGCTCCTTCACCAGACGCATGGCCAGAGTCAAAGCGGTGATTTGGGAGGTAGGGTCGGCCTCACGCATGATTGCCATCAGCGCGCGCTGATATTCCAGACATCTCTCCTTTAACCAAGCAACAATAATCTTCTCGTTTTCAGCGGCGCGGTTGGATTCGGTCAAATTGCCAGCAGCAATGAGTCGACTGAAGACTCGGCACAGAGAGACGGCGACGGCCAATTCGGGTTCCTTGGCGGAGGGTTCGACATTCAACATGGAAATCAAGGTCGCAATATTGTTATAGTGTTTGCGCGACTCGGTAATCTGATTTTCGAGCTCTTGGATTTTCGACAAGGTCTCGGCGAAGGTATCCTCCTCAGCCACAGCACGACGCTTGGAAGGGGCGCCTCCATTTTTGACAGATTTGCGCTTCTTGGATGACTCGACCGGCGCAGGCATTTTGAGGAATGGTCGTGAGTAAAATAGCTTGTGTCAACTCTATCTCAACCTGGCGTGATCCCGGAAGCACAACTTTTTTTTGATGCCTCGGAAGATCGGAAGGGGAGATTATCCGTGGGAACACACTAACCCCATCCGGCCTAGCGTGTGCAAACCAGAGAGGTCGGAACGGTTAGGAAAGACCTCAACTCCTCTCCGTTCACCCACTCTCAACTCCCTTTAACCACCATCCTCACAACAATGGCTTCGCGTCTTGCTAAGAGCGCCATTGGTACGCTACCCTTTGAATTATTCGCCACTATCTGCTACCAGTTACTAACTCTTACCCCCCCAGGCGCCGCCCGCCTGCGGCCGACTATCGCCGCCCGTGTCCCTGCCGTCACTGCCCTGACCTCGACTCGCGCGGCCTCCAACGTCCCTGCTGAGGATCCCTCCAAGAAGGCCCAGTCCATCCTGGATGCCGTCCCCGGTAACTCTCTGGTCACCAAGACCGCCACTCTCTCCGCTGCCGCCGGTATCTCCATCGCCGCCATCAGCAACGAGCTCTACGTGATGAACGAGGAGACTGTCGCCGCTTTCTGTCTGCTCTCCGTCTTCACCGCTGTGGCCAAGTACGGTGGTCCCGCTTACCGTCAGTGGGCTGAGGGTCAGGTCCAGAAGCACAAGGATATCCTGAACGCCGCCCGTGCCGACCACACCAGCGCTGTCCAGTCGCGCATCGACAACGTCAAGGAGATGTCCGGTGTTGTTGAGGTCACCAAGCAGCTGTTCGCTGTCTCCAAGGTAGGACTGCTATTATCCTTTTTCTTATGTGCCTGGTGTGGATGAGGGGATGATGGTTCTGTTACTCGGTTTTCCGTTTCAATTCCCAACTCCCCCTCTCCTTGGCACTATCCGCAGACCCGGTCTAACCCCTTGTCTATAGGAGACCGCCCAGCTCGAGTCCCAGGCCTACGAGCTTGAGCAGCGCACTGCTCTGGCCTCCGAGGCTAAGCAGGTTCTGGATTCCTGGGTCCGCTACGAGGGCCAGGTTAAGCAGCGCCAGCAGAAGGAGCTCGCCGATTCCATCATCGGCAAGATCCAGAAGGAGCTTGAGAACCCCAAGGTTCTCCAGCAGATCCTGCAGCAGTCCGTTGCCGATGTTGAGCGTAAGTGTTTCCTTCCCGGGATATCTGATATCTGATATCTTTTGATGAAGTCAACGTCGGGGTATACTCGAATGCTAATTCCAATTTCCCTTTTAGGCATCATGTCTGCCAAGGCCCAGTAAATGGACTCCGGTAGCTCCGTCGGCTGTTGCCATCGTGTACAAAACTATAGGGGCTATTTGCATTTGCTGAGTTAGATTTGCAATACCATTACCATTTCCTATTATCGACACACCATGATGTCGGGATGCACCTCCGATGAAGAAGGGCGAGTGCCAGTGCCAAGAGCTGGCCAGATCTGCCGTAGTAGACCTCATATAATGATTCAGCCGAGCTGAATATTCTCAGTCATTGATCCCAAGTATTTAAGTATCAACGTATCTACCATGTAACCACTACTACTTCTCTGTAATACATTCATAAATCAGTGCATTATTCTGTCTGACGCCCCGCAGGCTGCAGGGACCAACGCCAACGCCAACGCCAACAGCCATGTGGGACATGCATCGAACTATATACATCAAACTGGGTACTCTGGATAGTATCTAATCTCGATCTCGATCTCAATCTAGATTCAAATCTCGAAAGTATCCTAGAATGTACATATAATCTAGCCACGCCAAGCTGGTTATACCAGGGTTACATGTAAGCGCCCTCCGCAGCCACGCACAGCCCCGGATGTTTCTATTTGAGGCTGACTCTGCCTTGGACCTTCTGGTAATCCTTCAATCTCCTCTTCTTCTCCTCTTTCTCTCTTTCCTCTTCCTCTTCCTCTCATTCTCTCCTGTATATTTCCCCCCGTTTCTTCATTTCCCCTCTGTACCTTATTTATCTCCCTCCTCCTTCGAATCCCCGCCTTTGTCCACATCCATCGCATCGCATCGCATCGCCTTGCATCGCCTTCGCATCACCCCCACACCAACCATCAGCATGCCCTCACTCAAAAATATCCTCCATAAGCGCGATTCAGTCTCCAAAGACAAACCCCCCATACCAACCACTTCACCCGAGGCCATCCCAACATCTCCACCACCCCCCGAAATCACATTCCTCCGCTCAGATACATTCGGCCACGAGGAGATCACCCCACCAGTATACCCCGACCACCACGATCCTCATCAACAAAACCAAATCACGACCTTGAAATCCGACGAACCGCCCAGCACACCAACAACATCCTCCCCACGCCGCAGTTTCCAAATCTTCCGCCGCTCCTCCTCCGCCCGCTCCCTCTCCAACAACAACCCCTCATCCTCCTCACCATCCCAACCACCGCGCCGAGAACGCCGCCTGTCAAATCTACTCCACCTCGACCACCGCAGCCGGAGCAACTCACGCGATTCCTCGTCCGCAAATATCCCCCAAGATCTACCACAAATCGAAGACGAGGAAGGCGATGAACGGGAGCAGGAAGCGCAATGGGAAAAGAGAGCTACAGTGCTAGTGCAGAAGAATCCGCATTTCGGTCCGACGTCGCCGATTCATTCGCAGACGGAGTTGAGACCGGGTCAGATGCCTAGATCGAGGAGTTCTAGTTCTGTCGGTGATCAGCAGGATGATGTATGTTCTTGTTCTTGTTCTTGCCAATGCGATTGTGATTGTGATTGTTGTCGAAGCTCTCCCATGTGGAGATGGGCGTGGAGAAGATGGGCCGTGCTAGAGCCAAAGCTAATCCCAATTATTGTAGATCAATATCCAGGAAGCGATTCGATTGCATGAGGCAGGTGGTAAGTTTAGTGATGTGATGCATCATGCTCAGGGCTGATGAATTCATTCCGACTCCGAAAAACATAACTGATCAATCCCTCTTTTTAGATTTGGAACGATCTACCAAGATGTTCGGCCACTTGGCTGATCCCAATGGCACAAATAACCCTCTCAGCCAAGTTCTCTACGGACTAGCACTACGGTATGACTTTCCTCCTCTCCCTTCTCCCTGCCTCTTTGTCCAACTATTCCATTATCCATTATCCCCAAACCCCTAACCCGTAAATCACCATACTAATTAATCCCTCCCAGACACGGCTGGGGCTGCACAAAAGACGAAACACGAGCAGTAACCTACCTCTCCGCCGCAGCCTCCAACTCCGCCGATATCGAATCCGAGGCCCTCCGCGCGGGCATAAAGAAAGGTGGCGCCGCAAAGGGCGAGTTAATCCTCGCCATCTTCGAGTTGGCGAATTGTTTCCGGAATGGCTGGGGCGTCGAGAAGGATCCCGCTGCTGCGAGACAGTATTATGAGACGGCTGCTAATTTGGGGGACCTTGATGCGATGGATCAAGTTGCTTGGTGTTATATTGAGGGGTTTGGGGGGAAGAAAGATAAGGTTAGTTTGGTGATGGCGGGGGAGGAGCTCTTGTGTTTGGTTAGGGTAACTATTTGCTGACATTTCCGGGGTTACAGTTCAAAGCGGCGAAGTATCTTCGATTATCGGAGAAGAATGGGGGGCCTACGGTTGGGAATTCATGGTATGTGTTTGTCTCGTTTCTGGGAGAGGTTTGATTTGAATGCTGTCGCTGATCTGTTCTTCTTTTCTTTTGCTTTAGGATCTGGAAAGAAAAGTATAATCCGAAATGATGTGATGGTTGTGATTCTTGTTATATTCTACTATTCACTGGACATATTGACTACTCGACGATTTGACATGTATGATGACTTACTTTGATATGATGAGCCGATTCTTTTTATTGCATGTACACTTTTATGGAGAATGATAGGATTAATGTACCACCGGCATGATTTATACTAGTTTATCCATGGATCCTGTCGCGGGATTCTGAGTATACAACACCTCAGGCACTCGACGCCGACCCGAAGCTGAATCCCCTTCGAGTCGCCTGCATATCGAGGCCCACCCGAACCCTAGTGTATTTAAGATCCCACAAGTATTCAGGATTCCTGATCTCTTCAAGAATCAGTCTGTGTATCAACTGTCCAATCTGATATCTACTGTCCGATATCCTTGCCTAGTCACAGGTTTCTAGCCTGACAACTTAGTAACCGTTACAAAGACTGCTTGATCCCTTCTAAAGTAGGAAGACTATCAAAACTGCTTATAGCACTTATCTTTTATTATGATATATTTGTCTGTAATAATAGGGGATCACCTTACGAGGCAGTATTTCTTGTTTCCTATCTTAATGTTTAAGTTAGGTTCTTATATGCCCTAATAAATATACAGACGATCTAGATATATATCTTTAGCCTAATATATAGCGATTACTTACTAAAATATCCAAAGAACATACTTACGATTCGATTATATCAAAGTCGCAGTCCTGCAGATTGATCAAACTAATCTTAACACTAAGTATATACTGGATTCAATGGCTGCTAGGCAGGATAATAGCCTGATTCTGCTTTATATATATACTGTTCAGCGGGTTCTGAGAGAAATACGAATTATACAGTAGAATATAGGAACAGTATTTGACTATATAGAGTTTAAGGAGAGAATCTTATATTCCAAACTTACTCTCAGCTAGCTTAAACTACTGAAGCAGTGCCTAGAGGTTCTAGAGAGCTTTATACTAATACAGCAGATATCTTGCTCTAGGGTGGGTAGAGGTACTAAGATAGGGGGCACTAATTAGAGGCTAAATGTACATCAAACATGCTCGTTATCTATTTTATACGACGGACGACGGGCGCTAAATTAAGCAGTCACGCTAATTAACTATTGTTGACCTTTCCTATCCCTGTATTTCTTCTGACACAGTATGCTCTCTCTTTAATATCTGCTTCAGGATATTGTTGAATAAAGCACCGAAGTCGGTCGTATAGTGGTACTTGGGGACTCGGGTGGTGATTTCGATACAAGAGCCCACTATATCAATATATCTGCTTAGCCTCTGCTCCTTAACCATTGTTCACTGTTTCACTTCACTAGAGTAGCTTTATGCTTTACATAGCAATATAGCTGCTGTTACCTTAGCTGATTCCTCTTTTAGAGGATAGGAAACCCCAGAAGAGAGAGATAGGGCCAGACCGTCAATATTTGACAGGATAGTTTGGCTCTGTGTGGGTGAAGCATTGATTTTTTCTCTAAGTGTGGTGCTAGGATCTTTATCTGGAAGCAGAATCAATAATTTGATCTACAAGTTGGGGTCTGGATACTTAGAAGTTAAAATTAGAAGCAGACTGACTGAAGATAGTACAAAAAAGGGTGCTATCCTTGTGAATCATCCCTAGGTAGTTAGTTGGAATACTGTTAAACTTGTGATCTTATTTCTTTTTGTTTTAATTGTAAGGAAAAGTTGTATCTTTACGGTGGAATCTTAATATCTCTTCATTTAATGGCCATGGAATTCTACAGATTTCCCTAAGGAATGCCTGGTGTAGATATTATAGCGCTAGCATGTTTCTTCGTAAGAAATGAAGTAGATGCTTCCTGATATCTGTTGGAAAGCGAGATGAAAGTAGTCAGTGAGCAGAGTGCAGCACTGGATTTTCCAGTACACCTGCCATTGTTTATGGCTCTGGCCGGAGTCTCGCGAAGAAATTCAGTTGAAGATGCCGTTGAAAGAACTTTAATCAACATAAGAATAGACTTTGCTAGGTTAGGAGCCATGGTTCGTTGCACCGCCCGTTGAATTACCAACCAAGAAACCAACGTGAGGATTGGGAAAGTTGACGTGGGGCTAGACACTGTTGAGATTTCTCCTCGCACATTCTGGAAAGAGAATCAGCATAGATACCCAGCTCTTGCTAGTGTCGCACGAGATGATCTTTCTATTCCAGCAACTGGTGCAGGTGTTGAACGGCTTTTTAACTCTGCCCGAGACATCTGTCACTACCGTCGAGGCTCACTAAATGCGACCACTATCCAGGATCTAATGTTGTATATGTGCGCATCAAGATTTGATCTTAAGGAGCAACAGCTTGCATTGCTTAACCACTTTCACTCAGAGGAAGAGAAAGAGGAAGCAAATGAAGAAAAGGTTGCGGGGTTCCTTGATGATCTAGATCCGATCAGTGATAACGAGGATGATGTGGTACCTATCCAGGAACAGCCTACGACACAGAGACTTTCGGAGCGAGCCGCAGGGAAAAGACGAAGGAGTGTGGTATCTGAAGCAGAAATAGAGGCCCAGGAAGGTGCTCAATCCGACAATGAAACAGGTATTCCATTACCTGAACAGCCTGAGATCCAGCAGCGAGTATCAGGGAGAAGTCGGAGTGGTGTAATTCAGAGGAATTGATTCAGTTATTATTCTTGAGGTGATACACGACTCTATACTGTATATACAACGAGAAGACCAAGTTGATTTGCAATCAACTTGATTCTTCATATAGGCAACCCGGGATTATTTCCGATGTTGCGGCTTTGTTCCTGATCTGCGCAAGCCTCGTATCACAACAGGAAGCTTTCAAGACGTCAAGATGATGATTTTATACATTATTAGGTAGCATGTCTTAGAGTAACTCAATCAATGTCAGGCTGAACCTATCCAAACACCCGCTTCTCTATCTCTTGACCTCCTATGTAAGGCGAATACTTAAAAACACAAGCAAAAACTGCACAAATAATGCATGTCACGGGTTTCCATACTTTTGCACTGTTTGACAGCCCGCCGGGCACTTGGAGCCCGTAGTAAACCACCGGGCTGAACCCGTAGTTACCCACCGGGCTGAACCCGGCCGGGCATGCCCAGGGCTGTGCCGAGGTCTTAAGGACGTGAAAATCGGCACCGGTTATCCGAAGTCTCAGTCGCCCTGCAATGGGACCGACGATTAATCAGTCCCCAACTAAGCGTCTGACGGTGTACAGTCTCATACTCATCCTATCCCGCACCACCAGACTCCCTCTCCACGATATTCTGGCTACAATATATAGACGCACCCTGGAGATAGTCATGGCTGAGCCTTCTACCAAGGAATGGATCCAGTCCCTCGTTGAGCCTGGTCTGCTCCTCTTCTGGGCCATGAGCTGTATTATTCCCAAGCCGATATTGCATCGGACAAGGCAAGATATGTTCCTAGAGGGCTGACGTGGTTACAGACTACGTAAGAGTCAACTTCGAGGCGGTGTTCAAGCGCGGACAGGTGCTTGCCCCATTCCTGCAGACCAGCAAGCTACGCGATGAAGCCTTTAGTCGACTCTGGGTTGCGTTCAGTGAGCTACGCCCTCCGTTCCCATCAGTCAAAATGGCCCCCTAAGAACAACCGCATCGTAAGACTGACCCGATCTACAGCGACCCTCGTTGAGGGGCCACCATCGACACCTGGTGCAGACTCAGCCCCGACGCGCATCCAAGCCGCGTCGGATCTCATCCCGGGCGTGCTGGCGCGCGCCTCGGGGGTAGTGCTTGACGTGGGGCCCGGTACGGGCACGCATATGCCCCTCCTGCAGTCGCCGGCCATCAAAGCGATCTACGGTGCCGAGCCGTGCGTCGGGCTGCACGCAGAGCTCCGCGCGCGCGTCGAGGCCGAGGCCCTCGTGGACAAGTACCGCATTGTGCCGAGCAGCGTGGCCGCGGCGGACCTTATACCGGCACTGGAGAAGCAGAGTCTGTCGGTGTCGGACAGCGGTGCTGGCGTCTTTGATACGATCATCTGCGTGCGTGTGTTGTGCTCCGTGCCGGATATGCAGCGCACCGTCTGCGAGCTGTACGGCTTGCTGCGGCCTGGCGGGCAGCTCCTCGTCGTTGAACATGTGGTGAACCCGTGGCGGACGGCGAAGGGCTCGGTGGTCGCTCGTGTGATGCAGGCGGTCTACGGGTTCCTTGGGTGGAGCTGGTATGTCGGCGATTGCTGCTTGAATCGCGATACGGAGACGGCCTTGCGTGAGGCAGCCGAGGCTGACGGTGGGTGGGAGTCTGTTGAGTTGGACCGGTGGTTTGGACGGTCTGTGTTGCCGTATGTTTCTGGGGTATTGGTTAAGAGGGGGGTGAATGGGCTGTCGCATGCGTGTGATTTCTACACGATTTGTTTATTTGTTTACATAGGGTATAAACATTGTCATTTCAAAAGCATCGGATAAGACTGCAGTAAAGGGTATCATGGAGGCTGAGGTTTTGGTCGTCCCGGCGGCCAAAAGTCAAACAGATACAATGCCTCGGACGTCCATGGTCCTTGGTCCTCGGCTTCGCTATCTACATTATTCGGTCCACTTCGGTACGATTTAGGTCGTGGTGGCATGCGTCGAGTGTTAACTAACGGGGACGGGTCGGAGTGTGCCTTGCGGAGTACGCTCGACGACGACCTTGTCTTCAATGCTTGCGGCACGACAAAGCGAGTACCTCCAACTTCCCTGCACCCCATTACCACCCTACAGCTATGATGACTCCTACCAATATTGATCCTAAGGATATTTAAGCACACTGGGCTAAATATTAGGACGATAAGTATGTTGAGGGTTGGGCCTTACTCTGGGACAAAGGTGAGAATCTGCTCTGGGGTTGTGGCTTCCCTAACCCTGTGCTAGAAGACACTCTGGTCCAGTGAACTGGCACTATTAGCGGGCCTATTGTCTAGGACGGTGAGAGGCGGAAGGCTCTGGTACTGGGCTGTGGACGTGGAGTCGATGTGCTCTTATTCATAAGCTTTGGGTATGATACCTATGTAGACATCGCCATACCCCATCTTGGGACCCAACCCAACCCATAACCCAGTGGGTTATAGATGGGTAACCCATTTAGACCCATTTCAACCTATTCTGTTATAATTTCTTTATAACTTTTATGCACTGTATTCTAAAACGAACTTTTATATCTTTTTTTTAGAAGGAATTAGATACTAAGATTTTATATATAGGTTTCTATAGTATTAATTATATTATAGTTAAATTTTCGAACTGAAATATTTAGTAATCAAAAAGTTATTAAAAAAATAAGACTATTTATAAAGATATATATGCAACTTAGTATGATATACCACTATCTTCACTATAGAGCTCTGTAATTTGATTTATTTTTAAATATATTACTTTCAGATCTTTTGACCTATTATATATATATTTAAATATAGAATAATAATAATCTAAAAGAAAAAACTGAAATCACCTATATATAAGGCCTAAAAACAGCTCATATATACAGTATTTAAAGGCTTGGTATATTTGACCTGTTTACACTAAAATGGGGACCCAGTGGGTTCCTATGTGGGTTATAATATTCGACCCAAAACCCATTATGGGCTGGGGTTGGTTGGGTTGGATCATGGTTGACATGGGTTCTGGCGATGTCTATGTGTGTATAACCTAATCAGATAAAAACAGGCCACAATAATGTTGTGGTAATTATAGGGAGACAGAGTATAAGTGTAATAGGTGCCTGCTTAATAATAGTGCTTAGTTTTTTGTAATTTAATTAGTTATTGTTATTATATTTATCTGAATACCATAGGTGGTGGTGGGGACTGCACAGATCGCTTAGAAACACGGGTGGTATATAAATCACGTTAGTCAGTAGCTGCTCAAGTTACTTCACACTGCTTTCTCACCAACATCCATTCTCTGATGTGGTTTTCCTGCGAAAAACAACGTCGATGCCCAGGAGACAGGCCATGCAAATGTCTGCTGGGCACAAAGATCTTTTAGATCCTCGTCGGACTCCGAGACAAGGAGATCCACAACAGCGGTGAAGGTATAAGCCCCTATTCCGGTAAAAATATAGCACCTAATTCAAACGTTTAGTATCACAGCATATTAAAGAATCAGGAAGGAGGAGAAAGAGAAACGCACCACCCATGAAGCTCCAATAAAAAGGCCCAAGGAAGACCGATTGCTTCACGCGCTCGCGTCAAGAATCCACAGGCCCAATACTCGATCAAGGAAAGATAGAATCCAGGCACTAACATCGCTGCTAAAAGGATGCAAGTTAGTTCACTGGTAAGTAATGATCAATTTGTAGGATTGGGTTGGCTAACTAGCACCAAATCTAAGCATCCCATATATCTGCCGCCGGGCATTTGATAGCTCCCGGGCATTTGATACAAGAATCGTCCGGCTTGCGTTGAGTGGTCCTGTTTGAACTATGATGACAACCACAGAACCGAGAAACCACCGTGAATGGACGAACAGTTCATCGGCCATAATGTTGAATGTTACTAGCAATAGCAGTAAGGAGCCGATGACCGTGGCAATGATGGTAGAGATTCGGCGAACGGATTTGGCTGTCCAGACTCGGCCAGTGGATTCGCCTACCAAGACATTGCCTGTCAAGACGCGGCGTAGGAGTGGAGCTATTATGCAAAGCGTTGAGAGGTCATGCACTGCAAAGGGAAAAATGAGTGAATAAATAAACCAGCCGTGTGGTATACCTAGTAATACTAGTTGATCAAGCGGGGTGGGGGAAGACGGGGTACGCACTGATTTTGGTGTAGTACTTCAGACTCAGATGGAATGCAAAAGAGCATAGCCCAACTATTATTAGGCCCCAATATGGCAGAGCACGTAAAAAGTCATTGTTACCTGGTTTGGATTTGTTCGCTTTCCTTCGCAATTGGCGTAGGCCGTAGATGCCGTAGATTACTGAGTAGGTCTATAAATCAGAATTGAAAATCCACACAATATTTTCCCGTGTGAATCTTACCGTAGACTAGACCGGTCAAGCTGTTGATGAATTCGGCGATGTATCTGCTCACGGCGTAGTCTGCCTCGCAGAAGCTTTGTCGTGGTCGTCAGTCACTGGAGAAAGGTACAGGACGGGCATGCTTACTTGGCATGCGAGGTTGGGGGGCCCCAGAAAGGATCTGCAGAGTTCATGGTGTTTATTTTGATGTTTCCCGACGTACAGAAATGCGGTAGTTGAAAGATGGAAAGGTAAGGTGGGTAGAAAGCACACGTTTATGTAAAGATTGCTTGTCGAATTGGCCCCCAAAGCCTTGTTGGGGGCGGTCAAAAAGTCTTGATGTGATCTTTTTGGATGTCAAAAAAGTCATATTTGAATAAATATTTGACGATCATTCTAAGTTTGCATTGCAAGTGACTAATTGGGGGTTATAAGGAATTTCTATACATTTTAGCAATTTTTCTAGTTGACATGTAAAACAAAGGAAAGCTCCATGCACCCAACGACCTGGGACAATGTTGGAGCCATTGTTTTATTGAAAATAACCTGTCTGTTTCCCCTGGTGCTAAGGACTAAATGGCCGACATTTGCTCTCCGTAAACTTGAAGAACATGACTAAACTGCTCCCAGGAATTTGGTATTTTCTGTTTTTAATCTTTTTTGGTTCATTTTGTAAACTTTCGCTTTTCGCGCACCCTTGACCTGACAATATTTCCGTATATCAATCTCAGCCAAAGTGCTTAACATCCGAAAAGATAATTGTTTCCTCGAAACCAATAGCGAGCTGAATATCATTACACACACTAAATGGAACATTCCGCTTCGCTTGATCCCCTTACCATCAACCATTGGCAGATTAGCAAGGACGACCAGCATTTGCCAAGCCCTGAAAAGGATTAGACCTTGAGATAAACATCCCAAGTAGATGTTACAGAAAAGTCTCCCGGGGTTCTGGAGCTGGTGTATGTCCAACATCCACGCCCAGCTGCATTCCAATGAGCTGCATTGGCTGTTGCTTGCACAGGCATCAACGCATTCATCCCTAGTCAGGGGGGCACCATGGTTAGTTCCTGTCTTATCAGACCCTGAGACAGCTAAATAATCATAGAACGATTAGCGTGTGACATGAATGGCTTGGGAACGGATATTCATACTTTTTTTGCAAACAAGCTTCCAGTCTCTCCCCCCATGGGCAAGTAAGTCATTGTTTGAGCCGGGGCTTGTTGGAGTCAGCCTTAAATTCGTCTTTTGGGAGTTTATATCCTCACAAGCTGCAGCACTCAGGGGCTTTGACGATGGGGGACCACCGCCGCTACCAGGGGGGTCCACCATCACCGCCGCCAGGGGGTCCACCACCACCGCCGCCTGCTCCAGTTCCCAAGCTCGCCTGGCAAGTAGCGAGCTGGCCGTCAACCACCGCTTTGTCGGATTTGCATGAGTCGTCAAATATGCTAGAACCCGTTGGGTCATAAATATGCACATCTCATAAAACGCGATGTTAATTGAAACTTCGCCGGTCCCAAACACTGTCGTAAGACTTCAAATGCGTTTCGCGTATGTTTGTACAGCAGATCAGCCAGGAGGTTCCAAGCAAAGACGCTTGCGCGAGATGCGCCAAGGCAGAGGGCCCCTTTTCATCATGTGTGTACATGATCTCTACCAATATACCTACTTTGATGGCGCATGTGCCAACTCTGCCTTCAATAACGGCGCCAAAAAGTATTCTTTTCGTATACCATTTGTTGCTTCCAATTTACGATCATTCCTAACTACAACAGGTGAAGAGGGTGTACTGCCCGACTTTATCGTTGCCGATCTTTAAAAGGCGAGCCCAGGTCATCGATTGTTACGTCAGGCAAAGGCTGCTTGCTGGTGCTGAGGTCTTAGCCAAGAAGAAACGCGATTCTGCTAGTCAAGCAGAAGCCAGGGCTAAGCACCGTTCTATTGACAGATAGTCAAGACCAAGTCCCATAGACCAGGGACTACGAGCCAGGTTTCGGCGCGCGTGGGCATGGCTCTGCAGCCTCCTGCAAGCTCTTCTAAGCTGGCCCCGTTCCAGAGCGAATTCCTGCGCTCGCCGTTCACTGACCCTTCAAGTTGCTTCTTCGTTCGCCCTGGTGAAGAGGACTGGCACCGTTTTCGATCAATATATCAGCACATGTCGGAAATGATCGATCAGCAAGAGAATCCCAGTCCATGAAACCGCTTTTTGACATCGATCCTTCATTTCAAGAGGAGCCCGAGCCGCCGAATCTTTTTTTTTTTGGCATCTCTTAGGTAGTTCGCAGGGCCGCCAACGTCAACCGCGACCCCACGACGCACGCCAGCATCTGATCCCACGCTACCGGTCGCTAACATATATCCCGGTCCTGTGGCTGGTGCTGGGGTGTCTTATCCGGCGGCATTCACGCGAAAACAGGTCGCAATACGAGGTGTCGGAACCACGCCAAGGAAGAGGGGTTGTGGCAGGGCTATTGAGGATCGAGCGAGTCTCAAATTTGAGAAACCTTTATAAGCCCAGCACAGCTCTAATATCACCTATTTAGCGATCAAGTTACCTCTGACTACTGTACATATTCATTCTGGGTCCTAAGGGTACTACTAGTACTACTTGGTATACCCCCAGACGTCACCCGGGACATTCAAGACATGGGTTTACCTCAAACCCTATTGTCCTATTTATTCTCATTATTTATCCTACTAAGCCGGGCTCTTTCATACGACTATGCGTCCTATTCTAAATCCAATGCCGTGAGAATCGACTCTTCTCGCACCGTCCTTGCCGGTCCCCTCACGACAGTCTTTACGCCGCCTGCATCGTGCTTTACCCCCCCACACCGTTGCATATTATGGCTATCCGTGGATAGTACAGGGCTTTGATGGACCCAATGGAGACGATTGCTCCCCTGAAAACTGGAAGTATGATCGGTACTTTAGTCCAGGGCAGTGTCCTTCCGGGTATAAGGCTTGCACGCTGCCTACCGAGACGCAGAGGCTCGTAACGACAGAGATATGCTGTCCGACGTAGGTTGAGTTTCTTCCTCTACTCTCTTTTACTGAAAGCGCTTTTATTGTTTCTCTCCTTTTCTGCAAGAAATGCCTATCTAGTCCTCGGCTAAACTAACCGTATCAGTGATTTTGACTGCGTGGGACAAGACTTGTGCTCCAAAACATTCAATACTCCGACCCACATCACATACACAGACTCAACTGTTTCCACTGAAAAGGATGTCTATGGCATCAGAGCTACCCCCATCCAAATCCGTTTTGAGGCAAGTGACTCGACTGCCGTTCCTATTCCGACCGAGTCGTTCAAATTACCGGAATATCCCGCGCCAAAGAAGGAGCTCAGTCAGAGAGAAGAAGCCGCTATTGTAGCTGGGTCAATTGCTAGCGCCGTATTTCTCGCTTTGGGGGCCTACTTTGGACGGAAGTACTGGAAGCAGAGGAAGGAGAACCTTGCCAGTGCTCCAAGAGATGATGATCCGCCGCCGCCTTATACGAAATAATCATTAGAGGATGGAGTACGAGAAAACTCACCCGTTTATGAATAGACTTAATTTTTTGTTTCTCTACAGAAATGGGTAATTTTCAGGAAAGGACAGGGTAAAAATTAATGACAGTAGACCCTCACGGTTCAATTCCCCGGGTATAATTAGTATGTACTTCTAAACCTAAGTACTAAGAACGAAAGACAGAGTAAAGCAGAGAACTATAGAAACCAAAAAAAAACCCAATCTATATCCCAAGGTATCACGAAATAACAATGAAACAGCGTACACACGATAGCACCTCATGCAAAAGGCAGTACTATCTCACTCTCCATTTTCTTTTTTCTTCAGACACACAGCACACACCGACACAAAGCGGCCACCATTTTGATTTAAGCCCACTTGCCCAGAAGAGCCATGATACCAGCACCGAGCAACAGCGAAAAAACCATAAAGGTCAAACGCTTATCGTCACGAGTGCGGTGGGGATCAAACAAGAAGTCACGGGCAAGCAACTCCACCAAACCGGTATAAATCAAAATACCCGCCGAGATCGCATCCAGCACACCAGAGACGACATTCGCAGTATACGAGCCGGGATTGTAGGTATTGCGCACACCCAGACCAATAGCGATGGAGATAGGAGTAGTGAGACCATACGCGGTACAAAGGAACCAGGGCAACCAACTTCCCTTCTTGAAGGGAATAGAAGACATTCTGGCGCCAATACCCAGGCCTTCGAAGGACTGGTGGAAGACGAGAACGGGATAAAGCGAAGCAAACTCATCACCCGAAACACCAAGATTCAACCCGATAATAACAGAGTGGAAAATAACTCCGAATTCGAGGATCAGGAAAGCGGCAATTTGCTGACGGAATGAGCGTTCAACGAACGAGTCATCGTCGTTGCTCGATTGGTCTTCCAATTCACGCATTATCTTCGCATCATCGCTGCGAGAGCCGTCCTTGTCGAGACCTGTTGCGTCTTGGGATAATCCATTTGGGTTGACGTGGACATGGTCGTTATGAACAGCAACACCCTGCGCCATAATGGGCTCGGGGTCATCGCGACAAAGACCATATTTCTTCTCAACCCATCGCTCAGCGCCAAAGTCCATGAGGAAAATTATCATCAACGAGGTGAGCACAATGGCAGGGCACCAGGAGTACAGGGCCCAGTTCCCGGTCATACCGACGCAGCTAGCGGGCCCGATTTCATCATAGGCTGGGTCGAGGAGGTGGATGAAGGCTGTTGCGACGATGACGCCGGCACCGAAGTACTTGGCGAATAGGTAGACGTAGAGAGGGATGCGGAGGCGGGGTACACGTTTTGCGACGACGGGGAAGAATGTTGCCGCGCTGGATACGACTAGAATCACGAATATGGCTGATACACGTGCGCCTGAGACGGCCGTCGTATTCATTGCCTTCGGCGTTGAGGTAGCAGATTAATTCTCTTTGGTCGACTTCGTCGAGGTCGACGTTGTGGGGGTCGAAAGACATGATGGGTGGTTCAAACTCTCCCTAGAGGAACTCGGAATGTAGGAATTTCTTCTGAAAGATTCGTGGTGGTGTGGTTGGGCTGGATATAGGAGGAAAGCCTGTAGAACAGAAACCCTAACCAGCGAGGATGATATAAAAGACCACGAATTTGAAAACGAAAGAAGGTCAAAAGTAGAATGAACAGTATGATTCAAACGGAGGGATCGTCCGTGCCATTTTATAATTGTCGCAGACGAAGAAAGAAAAAAGAAAGAAAATTCGAGCTGATTGCCTCCGGAGCCACCGTGGAGGACCTTGGGAGTTGGTGGCAGCCCATCGAGTGGTTCCGTAGGTTTTGGCCCCCCGATGGTCAGAACCGATTGTCAAACAACGCGAGACATATCCAGATCAATTAAAAAGACTTATTTCTTCGTCTTCTTTTTCCTTTTCTTTCTCCTTTCTGTATAGTGTCTATCTGGATCTGTTGGGTGGTGGTTGGACGGGCTGCAGTATCCCGCACCGCAGTGCAGCGCCTGGCGCGCCTCGTGGGAGGAACCACCGGCCAAGAACCAAACGTCAGATCTCTCCAGTCTTGGTCAAAGCTTGGATATGTGCCTCAAGCCTTGGTCTGATGCATGTAACAGTGGAGAAGGCCGAGTCCCAAGACCCTAAACATCTGCCGGATGATTGGACAAGCCCCCCAGTCACCACGACTTGCCATCCCCCAAGGTCCTCCGGCTAATGGATCAGGGCCACAACGTGGATTCCACTCTCAACTGACGGGCGTGTCACTGTGATGGGGTAAGTTTGGTTCAAACTCTCCGAGGAAATGGCCATTAACCGAGCTGGGAATATGAGATAGGTGGTATGAGGTTCCACCTGGCGACGTTGATGCGCTGATATGTACTATCGACATCCACAAAGCCAAGCATACTAAAGGAGAAGGTGAACAGGGAAAGGAGAATAGTGGGATTTGACAAGGAGGAAAGGAAAGGAAAGGGAAATGACGGGTTCAGCCGCCGTATCTCAAATTCTTTTTGGAAAATGTGTCCGAAACCAAGGTCTCGATTCTCGATTGTTCATGGTCATGTTCATTGCAAGGTCGTGACTTCATAATATTCGTTCATAACATTCGTTCAGTTCAGGGCGTCGCCGCCTCCACAGTGGTGTTTAGTAAATAGTTAACGCATGCAGAAAGGAAAGAAAAGGTGCAAAGCCAAGGCTTGGAGTTTCAACTTGGAAAAGCCAAGTCGAAGCCAAGTTGGCCAAGGGGAAAAGCCAAGTTCAGACAAGGCAAGACAAGGCTGAAGCAGAACAAGAAGAAACCAGAAACAAAACCAACCCTTCTCACGCTAGAAAAAAAAACAAGTCAAGAACAAAAGATGCCAGGGTCCAATTTTCATAATTTCGTTATCACATGGCCCGTAAATATCCTGATTCATTCCAAGGAGAGGCTCTCCCAGAAAGGAGTCGTGGGAAGTCGACGAGCAAGGGGGCAGACATTTCTCTCCTTCTCCCTCTCTGTACACAAAACCAGCCCAACCAAAACCTTTGCAACATTCAAAGTCCACTATCATGTCATGAAATGAAGAAAAGAAAAGAGGGGGAAACACAACTAAACCACAAGACAACCATAAACCGCAGTGACCGCTCCCTGCCACGCTATCGCTAAAATAAAACAACAACCAAAGACCAGAACATGCAAAAAACAAACCAATCCAAACTCGCTAACAAAGAAACCGCTAAACACGAAGCCACATGAGGATAGGGCCAAAAAAACACAGTGAGTAGAAGAAACAAAATACAACACAAAAGAAACACCGCGTGGTCTATCACGCATCGCGAGAGCCATTGCTGGCTCCTGTCGTTTTCATATAAGTCCAACGAATGCAGCCGACCGAGCCCCTTTCCGTCCAGACATCTCCCTCCCAGTTACGGTGAGGGAGGAAACTTGACAGAAAGATTGGCCTTTGGATCAGATGTCAAGGAGAACTCAAGCAGACGCAAACCCAACCATCTCCTCCTTAACGGGCGCCCCATACTCGTGCACCATGCGACGGAAATCCCGAATGACTTTCTCAGGAACACGGTCCCACATTAGCGATCGTGAATAAACATCCGACGACGCGCCCATGCGATGCTGCGCGGCATTACTTCGCATAGCGGCGAGTGCCTGCTGCAGATTCGACGGTTGCTGCGGCTTGAACGCCTCGTCGTCGAAGCTAGTCAGCTGATTGTACTGATCCGGGTTGAGCGCGAAAACCTGTGCGCGCTGCTGGTCTTCTGTCGGCATGACGAGAGTGTCATGGAGCTCGTCCAGAGTTGAGGAGCCTGGCTGCTGAACCTGGACCTGCGCCATCGGTGCCATTTCCATGGTTGGGATGGCGGAGGAGGAAGGGCCAGAAGGCATGGCTGTGGGGACTTGGCCCTGGCTTTGTACGGCGCTGAACTCGTTCGGTGAGGATGCTAGCACGGCTTTGAGCACGTTTGCTGATTCCGCTCGGTACTCTTCTGAGAGTTGGGGGAGGGATCGGCCGGGGATGGAGGAATTGTTCGAGGCGATGTAGGCGCCGAAGAGAAGACACATGTAAAAGGCGTTCCAGCTGAACGGAGTGGTGGATTTTTCGCTTCGCTCCGAAACCTGGAGGGCTTGTTGCTGCTGTGCTGGGATTGGCTCTTGCATGGAGATACCGTTGCCCATGTTGAAGTCTTCCCATGGGTGGTTCTCCATGGACAGGTTCTCGAAGCCGGTGAAGTCTGCGTGGGTGTCGACTTGTTTGGGGACACCTCGCTCGAGTTTCTCGACCGTCTCCATCAGAATATTGTTCTTCTTTCGCAGCTCGGCGGTCTCGAGGGTGTGCACGCGGATCATTTCGTTCTTTTCGATATGAATACTCTCCAGATAATTGGTCATGTGCTGCTGCTGGTTGATCCACTCGGTTTTCTCGCGAATCAACTCGGCCTCACGGCTTCGCAGCTTATTAACCATATCCTCGAGGTGTCCGATCGCATTGGTAAAATGTTTCTTTTCTTCCTCCAACTTTTCAGTGTGGAGCTTCTTCCGCTGTCGGGAATCCAAACTATGCAAAAGTGGAGTCAGTACGAGACAATCGACTAGAGGGTCAGGTGGGCTCTGAGATATCACTTACGCTGCCTGGCGGTTCCGAAGCAATCGCTTCTGCTGCTTGAGTTCCTTGATCTCCTCCTCGTTATTGGACTGGCTGATAAGATGGTCGATATTACTCAGAGTGCGCTCGGCGGGGATTTCAAAGCGAGCGTTTTTCTTGCGAATACCGTCTCGACGCATCGTCAAGGGTGACCCATTTCGAAAAGCAGCACTCTTTGACTGTGCAGCAGCGTCTGCCAAGTCCATAGGCGCCGGCATCCAACCCTGGCTCGACTGTGGTGACATAGCGACCCCACCCGACGGCGCGAAGCCCATCCCTCCGCGGTATGAGACAGCACCCATGGGCATAGAGTTGACGGGGCCAACGGCACCTCCAGAGAAGGGAGCACTTGAGGTGCCCTCTTCGGAT